AAATAAAGAAAAAAAAAATAAAAAATTGAAGCGTTCATTGTCGAATGGTGGAAAAAAAAAAACAAAATTTTCAAATCCAGATACAAAGATAGAAAGAGAGAAAAAAATTGGGACAAATAGGTAGAAAAAAAAATAAAATAGAGAATCTGATTCAGAGGAAGAGTAAGCGAGAAAGACAATAAAGCCAAATTTAACTGTTTTATTGCAAAATTTTCCAAATATCATTACCCATCCTACTTGAATCGGAACATTCTTGTAGCTACCATACTCCACGTCACCCACCCTACTTCAACCGTTCATTTTACTTCTTTTAGTCTAACGTAATCCACTTCCTATTTAATAGCAAACACAAATTTCACTACACATCTACATCATCATTTCCACGAAGTCGTCTCCTCCTCTCTTCCATTGCGAACTCCTCCTGCTCACTAAAAATGATATCCGCATCAGGATAAAGGTCCGTCGCATTGTCAGACATAGGTCTAACAACAGACAAATCATTAACCTCTTTATAATTCTCCCTTGTCATATAGCTAAACCAGTGACACGAAGGACATGGATGCCTTAGTGCTTCTATCAAGGCGAGCACCATTTCCGGTAATCTTGTCTCAAGTTTCATGTTGATGCTCGCCAGAGCATTCAACTCCTTTTTAACATTCGCCATCTCCTTCATAAACCTCGTTGGAGAATGAGCAGTAACGACATTCCCCAACAAAACTCTCAAAGTGTATAATTGTTCTTTGTAACCTCTTACCATGGCAGTTGTGAGTCCCTCCTCACATAGCTCGGCAAAATTTTGCCTGAATATAGAATTCATTAACTCTCCATGTGTCTCCTTGTACAAATCCCCAAGCGCAATCACTGTTCCCCTCAACTGATTATCACTCACCGGAAACTTCATCGCACTTTGCACCTCCAACAATGCATTCCTATGCACCAGCTCCACACCGACCATCCGTAATGATTCTAACATAACAATCAAACGCGTTTTCGGAAGCTCCTCCAAAGTTCCAGTCGATGGAATCTCAAACAGGTCCGAGGCAAAAGAATGATCAATTGACGGCAAGGCACCCATTAACAACATATTTCTTATCCCACTTTCCGCTTTTTCTAATCGGCCACGCAAATGGTGAACCTCTTGTGAAAAATGCGGGTTAACTCTCGTACTAAGCTTACAAACATTGTCCAACAATTCGTATCTAATAAAAGATTGAATTAACTCCTTAAACTCTCTGTCCATCTGCTCGGCAGCATCCGCCTCCTTCTTCAAAACGCCATCACCGGATACAGCAGAATCTCTTACCTCTTCAGTTCGTTTTGTTTCAATGAAACTTTCGACCACTGCCCGTGCATTCAACTCAACTTTCCGAAATGCATTTCGCAATGCAATCACTTCCTCCTCCTTCTTTTTCAACATTCCGAGCAACTCATCCTGAGTCCATCGAAGACCCTCATTGTCTGTCAGGTAGCGGTCACACATCTCCTTCAACGCAAAGTCACTCGGAAGCTTACCTTCGACATTGTACTGCACTTGAGACTGCTTTCCATGGAGACGTTGTTCTCTCTCATGAATTTTATTCCCCTGGCTATAGTCGTACCATTCCTGACATTTTGCAAGGTACCTATCTTTCAGGTGATCTTTAATCAAAGGATGGTCGAATGCATCATCATATCCGGTCACTTCCCCAGCAGACCGCGATGATCCTTCCACCCCCCTTTCGGCATCTCTGTTGACCAATGCATTGGTTTCACCAGACACTTGTGTGTCTGCAGAGAGCACAAAGAAAAAGTAACGAATATACCAATAAAAAAATGAGATGGTAATCTAAACTCTAATAGACTCTAATACTGAACGCGATATATGAAACACTACTGTTTAAGGTACAAAATAAGAAATTGATAAACCAATTGATCAAATTGATTGATTCATGCACTCACAGACACATACACACCCATATAGATTGATATAAACATGAACAGAAAGAGAGAGAGAAAAAAAGAGAGAGAGAGGGAGAGAGAGAGAGAGAGAGAGAGAGAGAGAGAGAGAGAGAGAGAGAGAGAAAGAGAGAGATAGAGATAGAGATAGAGATAGATAGAGAGAGAGAGAGAGGAAAAAAAAAGGCTCCCAGCTTGCACCCGGGCTTGGTCAGCTAGTTACCCCCTACCCCCTGGGCGTCTGAGTGCTACTGAGTCTCTGTACATCTGTGTGCTGCCTGAGTCTGTGTATATTTTCACTCATAAATTTTATGTTGTTGTCTGTGTATATCTGTGTGCTACTGAGTCTGTGTACATTTGTGTCCTCCCTAAGCTTCCCTGTATGCGTATGTCTATGTGCTATCTGAGTCTATTTGTCCGTGTATGTCTGTGTGCTGCCTGAGTGTTGTCTATCTGTCTGTCGGTATATGCCTGTGTGTTGCTTGTGCCTACCTGTTTGTGTATGTCTGTGTGTTGCCTGAGTCTGCCAGTCTGTGTGTTGCCCGAGTCTGCATGTTTGTGTGTCTGAGTCCGTCTCTCTGTGTATTCCCTGAGTCTGCTTGTGTTTGTGCATGTTGTCTTTATGTCTAAGTGTGCTTGTCTATGTTCTACCTAAGTCTGCCTGTCTGTTTGTATAAGTGTCCTATCTGTGTGCCTGTCTAGGTTTGGGTAACGCCCGTGTGTGTGCTTGTGTTCTTGTTTGTGTCCTGTCTGCATGTGTGTTGTCTGTGTGTCTTTGTGCTCTCTGTGTTTCTGCCTGTCTGTTGTTTGTTTGTGTGTTGTCTGTGTATTGTCTGTCTGTCTGTCCGCTGTCTGTCTGTGTGCTATGTCTGTCTCTGTTTCTGTCTCTATGTGTGTTGTCTGTCTGTTGTCTGTGTGTTGTCTATCTGCGTTTTGTGTCCGTCATGAGTGTCTGAGTCTATCTATCCGAGTCTGTCCGAGTTTGAGTCTGTCAGTGTGTCTAAGGTCCTGGTCCAACCGACCAATGGATGCAAAAAGGAAGAAAAAGTGTACACCGAGGTAAACCTGAGAACATGGACAGGTTCAACCTCAGGTCCTAGTGCAAGCTTACATCGTGCGAAATAAAACGGAAAAAACAAATTAAAAATTGTCAAGCCCTCCACATGGCCCCACGCCGTTTAGGCCCACCTCTGGGCCCAACATGCAAGAATCGGTCCTATTATGCGCCTTGTCCTAGGTCCTGCTCAGGTCCCGATGTTTTCATGCGCCCAACACCACGTAAGACTTCCACCTGGTTCTGAAAGGGGAAAAAAAAAAAA